AACTTTATTTCCTCAGCTTCAAGTGTTCATCTTGTGCTGGCTCCTCACTATATCTTCATCTTCTGTGGCTCTGAAAGCTCTTCCCCCTCCAAGAGGTTTGTAGAGTGGTGTTTTCAGAAGCTGTGCTTGCTCCTCCTGGCTGTGGCTTGTGTTAATGCTGCTGTGCTGACACAGCCTGCCAGCTCCTCTGATTGATCCTTGGATCAATCCCTTCTGAATTTACGTTTAATTTTCTGATTATTTCTTTCAAAACTGATTGCCTTTATTCACATTTTGGCTTCTAGTAGGTTTGATTTTTACTTCCAACTGTGTGATTTTCTTAAATGATAATGAAGTGGGGAGAAAAACCTACAATGTATTTTCCTCTATCAAATCAGCACTTTTCTGTTTTGATTAAAAATGCCTAAGATCCTAAAATCTGTTCTACACAAAATAATTTTCTGGSTTGATAGTGTTTTTTAATACTGAAATTTATTTCAGGATTGTTTTGTTTTTTTTTTTTTCCCATTGTGAGGTGCAGTCGAACTTTTGACTTTCAAATTAAATCTTGAAGAGAAAAAGTTGATTTGGAAATTTCTGGAAAATTTGCTCATTTGACATTGGGACATTTCTTATTCCAAATGGTATCTATGATATCTACGATCTTTTCAAGTACTGTGATTAGGTCTGCCTGTATAATGGAACAAATACAGTCCTTTACATTATCCAGGAGTTATCTGCTAATTCCTTGCAATTCCTTGTGTTTACGTATGTCTTTATTGTTTACCCTTGCTCTAGGTGTAATGTGTTTTTATGATCATTAGCATGTGATTCATTCAAGCCATGATTGCCAGGCGTATTTGAATTCAATTGGGCTTTCATCTAATCCTGTTGAAAACAAAGGTGATACTGGTATTGGCTTCTCTCTGTTTTGGATTCTGATTAGTGACCTACACACTTCCCTGGTTAGATGGCTTAAGTTTTATAAACAGGATGAATCTCTTTCTTCTGCATTGATTACATGTGAATATTCATAATTGTTCATCAAATCAATTTTGCACAAAATAGAAGGCTTTTCATAATGATCGTGAAAGCAATTATGGCATGAACACTTTCATTCCATTGTTCTCATTTATTCATGCCAGTATTTGCAGCACTTTTTTTGAGTAAGACCTCATGAACTGGAGTGTTTGAGATCAAGCTAATGGAAAAATATGAAAAGAGAAAGCATCAGCTGAGTAAATAGCTTCTRCTGCAGAAGGGTAAATGAAAGCTTTGGAGCTGTGTTTGTGCCTGCTGTCCCTCTAATCGTAGCTGGCCTCTTGACATATACAAATATATTATAGTATGCATGTATTTTAAAATGTACATAATATTTATAATAGGTATATTTGTATATTAAATATATATTGACTACTAAAGGCTGAATTATCTTTAGGTATAGACATGACTATTACATGTGTACCTTAGACCCTTGATAGATTACAACAATGGCTAGCTTTATCTGTATAGTGAAAAAAAAGAATTCTAGACTTCTAGTACATAGTCTGCCTTGTTGGCAAAGTTTGTCAGCCTTTCTTGTTTGGATTGGAGCTTGGTATGGCATTCTTGTAACAAATATATATGTATTTCATCTCCTGAATTTTACACTAGGGTGTATGTAGGATAATCCTGAAAKTAGAGTGGGAAGCTGAGGTGTTATTGCAGAATATTGCAGAATGGCACTTTCTGCTGTTGAGGCTGCTGTAAACTTGGAAGGCAGCATTAAATAAACTAAATTAATCACTAAATTAACTATGAACTCGCCTCTGCTCACATGAGCTTAATATACCCTAATTGTTAGGATGCTCTTTTTTCATTCTTGAAGATTGGTGGCAGTAAAAAGAACATAATTAMAACAAAAATGTCAGGACTTGCCTGTCATCTGCAAATTGTCATTATGGGCCCTTTATGTTAAAAATGAAGCTGTTAGTTAGGAATATGTCATTTGATGATGAGTGTTCTATGATTTGAAATAACTGTCTTAGAAAATGTTGTTCTCTTGCTAAGAATCCAAAATGGTAATATCTATAAGCATTGCAACACTAGACTGTTTGAAGGGGGCAGGTAGATGTGTGTTTGGCCACACGGTGAGTGAAAATGATGATACTGATGATAGAGTAATTGTGAAGATGTTMCATTTTTCCTTTTTTTAAATCTTTTTAAGAGATTAGCAAGAATGAGAATGAGGGTAAAATCATTTTTCAAAGCATCAGTGATTTCTATTCCAGATAATGTTTATAATTAATATCCTAACTATCACAAATAAGAGCATCTGTGATTCTGTACCTCTTACTGGCGSCTTGGGAAACTAAAGTTTCTTGATTTTAGTGAAAACAATTTTAAATGTAGGGATTTCACAGATGTTGTCYGTGTCTCTCCAGTCATCTCAGGAGAGAACAGTGCCACTCTTTTTCCAATTGTCTTGAGAACAGGATAATGTTCTTTAAAGGGTAGAGGGAGACTTTCATTGTTGTAATAATCCCCTCTGAAGAATTGAAACAGAGAAAAATAAAATAACCGGGAGGCAAGGAGACGGAGGAGATGGTGGGGAGAGATGGTTTCTCATGAGCTATTAACAGAATCAGGAGAATGAAAGGGAAGAAAGTGGCTGGCTGATAATTTATTACTTCATCTTTAGAAGGAAAGAGAATTAAAACAAAAAAAAAAGAACTTGGCTGTGAGCGATGCAGTGTTTCTCACCTACTCAATGATACAAAGTGAACAGAATAAAAATAAGGTCTGGCAAAGAAGACAGCATCATGTGGAAGCCTCCAATGTTTTAGCTCCACTGGTGGGAGTTGGGAGCAGGTGAACAGATTGGTTGCCTTTAAACTAATCAATGCTAAATGAATTTCATATTATATGCCTGATAGCGATTCAAACCCTAGAAATATGCTAAAAATAGTGTTCAATGTGTAACGTAAACCCTCTTTTTTCATAAATCTTCCATATTCATTGAGGCTGAATTGTCTAATCCACTTCATTCCCTGTCAGGGCTACATAACAGTTCTGACACTGTTTGGAGAAGAGGTAGTTTTAACAGCACCCAGTTCCTATATCAAAAGTTACCAACATACCTCCAATCTAGAATTACAGTATAAATACTGATTTATTGTAATTAATGTAGTATTTGCTGGTGATGGMACTGTTTATCCTTTCCTGTTGTTCTGAGCTTGTTAGTGTGGCTCACCCACGTTTATTTCCAGCAGAGATTTGTCAAGGAAGTAGCCACCATAATCACTAATGAAACCTTTTCATGTATATTTAAATTAGGCCAGCTTGAGACAAGACTGGGATAGCAGATAATGTGGTTTCAGAATCAGCTTTTGTGTAATTCTTGGACGTCTGCTATTGGGATGTGGTGGTACAGCTTCCCATAATATGCTGTATCAWATGGATTCATACTGGTGCTATCTTTTAATGGGAACAAAGTTCAAAAATTTGTAACAATTCATCTGGGAATACCTCCTGAAACTATTTTTAATTTTGAAAAATGCATCAGTTTTCAATTGACACTGTTGCTGAGCAGTTACTTGTTGTTTCTAAACCAGTGCTTATGTTTGCACGTTTACTGCCTGTTTTTCATGTCTGCTGCAAAGATGGTGCAATATCCCCCACAAAAGAGAAGTGTGCATCACTCAGCAGACTGTATATGTGTGTTTTWCTTCTTAGTACTGAGGTTATTCCTTTAGGGACCTCTGAGCCCCATTGAGATTGATCCCTTCATTGCACTTTAAAACTGTAAAAGAAATTCATATTCTTAAAGTAGACCAAAAAAAATGAAAGGAGGAGATGCTTTTCTACCTTTCCTAACATCACACAGTGCTTGCTTTTAGTACCCAGACCTCCTCACTCCCTTCCTATATCTCCCAGAGGCACAGTTTTCCTTGTGGACTTAATTGGAGCATTCCAGACTTTCAGGTAAGCCCTTCTTTGTACGAACTGATAATCCCTGGGCTCTGTTTATTGTTGAACTAAAACAGTGGGGCTTTTCAGGGCTCCATGGAACTCTCACTAGGACATGTGTAGGATTCTGTGATGGTAAGCAGTTCCATTAAATATTGCATGTATTGTTTGGAGAAAGTTATCCTCACTGAGAGTAACTTTGGAACATGTACATACATTATTTACTGACGTATGTGCCATGTTCACATTCAGAATGGCCTCATTCAGCAGCTGTTCCTGATGAAAGGGAGCATCTGGTGTTTCACAGATAATTGAGACATGAGCTGACTGTCCTCTAGGCCGAGCAGACAGGCTGGAACCAGGCTCTCTGGGTGGATGGTAGGTCCTGGTACAGTGCCAAGTGCAATTCTGAGAACATCTTTTTTGTGGGTTGTTATCAGAATAGGGTTTATCTGTTATCACCTCTATGCAAGCAGAGCAACACTTCAGTGTTGTACCCTAGGAACAGAAAGAAAGAGAGATGAAGATTTTTCCTACACAAAAGAATAAAATGGGAAAGTTTTTGAAATTCTATGTATGTGTGTGGATGTACAAAAGCAGAGAAATGTTTTTTCTCCTGGCACTTGTTTTACATTCCTTCTGTAGGACCTGTGAAACAGTTGTAAGGCAACTGAGTCTGAAGAACTGCAATACAATTGCAAATATCAGCTATGTATTGTAAATTCAAACTGCAGTGCCAATCCATGCTACACTKCTTAAATGACCACTTGTCCAGAATTTCCTATTTTGATAGGCCAGTTGCATTGATGCACTTCCTTGGAAAAAGCAGTAAGGATGGGAAAAAGCAATTCTTCATCATCAAATTAGAAAGAATATCCCACCAGACTCCATCAAAACTCTAACAGCCATCCTTTGGAAGCGAACAGCATAAACATTGTCTCCAGCTCCTCCTATAAACATTTCAGACTTCTTGAGTTACACCACTGTGATTTCACTTCTGTTCAGTATTTGCTGCATTTGACTACCTCTGACAGACCCGTTTCCTACATAACCATAGGGCTTTTTCTTGCCAGGCATTATCAGCCGTCAGGAAGCAGAGGAGTTGTTGATGAATAAATCCGAAGGCGCATTCCTGGTGCGAGTCAGTGAGAAAATCTGGGGCTACGCGTTGTCCTACCGCCAGCAAAACGGGTTCAAGCACTTCCTGGTCGATGCTTCGGGGGATTTCTACAGCTTCCTGGGGGTGGATCCAAACCGACACCCAACGCTCACAGATCTCATTGATTTTCACAAGGTAACACTCACTAGGTGGAGATCAATAGCTGAGTGCAATGGATTAATAATTTAATGAGGAGCCATGTAATTTGAAACCTCACTGGAAAATAGTAATGACCACGGTGGGGGGAAGAATGTTGTGCACTAAGCCCTAGCTGTAACATTCATGCTTSTGTTGCAGTGAATCAGAAAGCTTTTCCCCTTCTTTCAAATGCTCCAGAATGTACTTGTGCCCCTTATGCAGTGTGTGCTTTCCTTGGCTACAAAKGGACTAATAAGGGCTGACAGATGTAACGCTTTCTGAGCCTCTTTGCTGTGGAAAATAGGATTGGAAATACCATAAAAAGGTCTTTCAATGAAATTTCAGCGTTTTTCTACCTTTGATGTGAGGGCTGTAATGTGCAAAAGCAAGAGAATGTGACCTGCAGCAAAGAAGGGAACATGGAGGGGTTCTCTTTGAGGGATGTCTTAAGGGTCATTCGTCATTACCCAAAACAATCTTACAAGAGTAATTTGCTATTSGACTTTAGATGGGTTTGAGTTACTTTACCGCCAACTTCAGTTTCTTGTTACCAGACTGTAACTAAACAGTAGCACTGTTTCTGAAAGCATAGTTTGTTTTCATCATCTTTCTCACTATCTACATCAGTTTTATTTCTACTCTTTTCTTAGCCACCCTCATAATTCCTCTTCATCCTCTCTTTTCTAGTTYCCTTTCCTCTTCTATCCTTTTCTCACTCTTGTCTCAGAATAACTCTATAAATTTTTTGCTCCTCTTTTTCTTCACAACTTGTGGGCACATTTTCCCTTGAAGCTTCCCTTGTTGTGTTCTCTGGAGCAGGTGCTGCTTTCCTCAGTATTTTTSTCAAGAGTAGGCTTCCCCATCCCAAAGGTTGCATGGATTTTTCTTTGAGGGCCTTTTCCTTTTCAATCAAAATGAACAGGGCCGGCATAACTAATTTTTTACTTGCTTATACTTACTGACTTYATTTTSTTTCATTKTGATTAAAARARCTAAGTGGTCACTCAAGCAGCTCAGCTGGCAGACACAAGGGGGTGGTAACCATTAACCAGAAGAGCAAACTTTACAGAATATGGTGTGGGTGTGCATCTTCTCYTTGCATTGTTTGCATTTAAATACTGTTGGAAATCAGCAATAACATGTCCAAGATMATTGCTAAATATTTGTATTTACTTCTTCACAACCTTCTTGCCTCGTTGACAAGGTGGTGGTCAAAGGTTGGGTTCAATGATCCTAGAGGTCTTTTCCAARCTACATGATTCTGTGATTCTTTGATTCTGAAAATTATTTAATTTGGGTAGGAATTTTCTGAACTGATCCTTACTCTGATGTAGTGGTTGAGAGGGAACAACCACTGGGAGCCTGCATGTGTTTTGAGGAAATCGAGCACCAAATTTGCATTGAATTTCAAYAGAAACTAGATAGGTTTTGAAAATGTTATGCCCATATATAGATCCATAACTGGGATCTAAACTCTCAGATGAAAGATAACTATTTTAGTCAGTATAATTCTGGATTCCAGCTCATTTTGGTGCATCTATCAATCTTCAACTTCTACAAAAAGTAGACRCCTCTTGTGTGCACTCATTTCATTGTTTGATAGTAGCACAAGTTAATACCACCATAAGAACGAGATAAACACAGCATGAAGAAAATTATTAATCAATGAGATCCTTTTGCTGGTCTGTAATTATTTTATCAAGGTTTATTCACAATTGCTTGCCAATTACATTGGATTGAGGRTCTTCATTGCAGTTCTTAGAAGGTAGGTGTGGCTTAAAACTTTGATATTTTAATTGCTTTTATCTTTCCAGGAAGAAATCATCACATCCTCAGGTGGGGAGCTACTACTGGAGCCATGTGGACAGCAGAAGAATCCACCAGACTACAGCCCATTATTTGAATAACTGATCCAGGACTAACAGGAATGCATTCTGGATAGCTGTAGAAATAGTTACAAAAGTAAACAATGAAAGTAGTTACCCAACTTTCAAAGCCACTGGTCTTGTGGCCAAAAAATATCCTCATTAGGAGGCCTAAAATATTTCTGGTTTGCATCTGAATGATCATCATTATTCATATTGTTAGCTCTTGAAAGGTGAGAAATTACCAGCAAATTGCAAAAGAGGACTACCAGAAAATTTTCAAGGGGTTGTGGCCAATTGCACTGAATGCTAAGTTCCTGTCTTAATTTTCTCATGTTTTGTACAGCAAGAAGCATGGGYAGGAGCAATTCATAGAGTACTGTATGAAGTATCAGTGTTGGTGAACAGATTCTGTGWTCCAAAGCAAGGTTTGACAGTTTCTGTTGACAATTTCATTACCCAGTGGTGCACTTCTGATAACAAGAGAAGCAGTCTTAAAACACCCCTACRAAATTAGTGATTGCTTACAGAATTAGATGTAGCTTGAAACTCTCCATTATGCTTTTGAATTCAGGCCTACAGTTCCCCACAAAAGACAGAATAAGGTCATACACATGTTATTTGCATTTTCATCCAACAGCCTTGGAAGGAGCTTTACTCCAATACAGTAAGTGGTCAGTTTATTCTAAAGAAAACAGTTTGATKTGCTGCACAGTTCTCTCGCTGGCCTTGCATGTTTTCTGCTTTTAGATGCGCAACAGACCCACTGGATATTGCTAGCTTTACTTTGCTGTAGGCGTGGGTATTKTCCTTATCTGAGAGACAGTGGGACTGGTATATTTATACATAGAAAAGGTGCAGCTAATTACATTATCACCAGAAAAAKATGCACACAATGTGTTCCTGATCCATTTGCTATGTATATTAACTCCATGAAAATAGAGCAAATGATATTACTTGGAAAACTGCAATTTATACTAAGAGTTTTATTATCTTAATAAATGGCAGAATTATCATGTAAAGGAATTGCCTCTTTTTTTTCCCCATAGCCCCACAGAAATAATGAAAAATATCCAGCTAATTCAGCCTTACCTGGAAAGAAATCTAAACAATATAGAACCAGAAGCAGCAGCAATAGAGTGCACTTCACTGAAGATAAGTTTTGAAAGAAACAAAAGGAGATCATAGCCAGCAGAAACTAAGAACAGCTTTCCTTGGTAGAGACATGCAGCTGTTGCCAATATCCTTGAGTGAAGTACAAGCATGGAGATGTTTTCTGAGTTAACAGGTGCTTTTTGTTGCCTGAGGGGGCAACAAGACAGTAAGGGGACTATGAAAAGATAACCCAGTTAGCAGGAAGAATAGAAGGTAAAGCAATGAAGGAGTAAATATGGAAAATTAAGAAAATAAGAAAGGGGGAAATATTTTTATGCTGTTGTTTTGAAAGCATTTTTTATTTTTGCTGCTTTGGGAGGAAGACTGGGCACTGCTGTGTCCTTTTCTCCCTGTAAGTCTGCAAGATCGCAACTTTGAGCTAAATGTGTCTTGGAGGTAGATTTGACATGCTTGAATCTGTAAAAGGTGGGCTGGTCTGTGCCTCAGCCTCSAATGCTGCCTCTCCTTCTCTCTGCCTGCCTCTCCATGTGGTGCTGGAGGAACTGTTCATCACTGGGTAAATAAATGGTTGTGGAGCTGCCATTTCCTTGGCTGCCAGGGCAGTTTTAGCTCATCACACTGTGACCTTCCAGTCTTGCTTTCTGACCTGTTTTTCTAGTGGTRGGTATTGGTGAGTCATAGGAGTGGCATGGTATGGAATTGCCTTAYAAGATTTCCTGTCAACATTTCTTGTTGATGAAACCACCAGGAATTCACTGAGAGGCCTGCTATGGAAATTGTGTTTCATAAGGAAAAGTGCCACAGCAGAAAGGTAATCTTTGAAACTTTGAAATGAATTGAACTTTTCTCATGTTTCCCACCAATAAAATACAGCACACAAGGTCCCACGCTTTATTTTCAGGTATCTTTGAAAAAGACATCTCTTGAGGATTTATTCTTGCTTCTTCCCAGAGTCACARAACCATCTGTTCTTTTGAATTTTGTTTTAATCTGTTATTGTACATAGACATCTTTAATTTAATTCTGCTCTTTTCTCTAAAAAGGTACAAAAACCAAGCAAAGAAATTGACAGCAGTCATGGATGAGATTTCCAAGCTACTGAAGGAATATGGATGCCAGTCTTTTAATTAATGGAATAATGATATAGTATGAGTATTTGCACATTAGTTTTATAATAGATGTCCTGGATGATTCTTTTAAGTACTAAATCCCCATTATTCTAAGCTGAATAAAGTAACACCTGCCTCAAGAGAGAAATACCTAAAAACATTTTTATAACAGATTTATTTTCAGGCTTCCTGAATAGAAACTCTTTCCAAAAACCAGATCCCAAGTGAGAATTTCCATCAGATTTCAGTTACCTTGAATCAAATTAAGCAAACCTATTTCTTGGCTGAGGTGAGGCAGCATTARTACAGTGACTACAGTTTGTATGAACCAGTGATTCATTTCTCTTCAGGCTCCCCTTGAGTCACCACAAACCTGAATATAGAGCATTAATGGACTTYCATCACATTTCACTGCGTCTAAATGCTGTCATTTACACAAAGCCACAGCACAAACCTGCTCTCAGGTAGACTGTGGTAGCTCACAGTGGGAGAAGTTTTCTCTTTATATCAATAATTTTTTTTTCATTATTTACAGTCTTATTTTTATACAGAGCTTATTTTTCAATGATTTCCAAAGACTGGCTTTCTTTTCTGCTTTGTTATGGCTTTGCTTTAAGATTCCTTTTGCCTTCCCAAGAGGTTGAGGTAAGTGACCTCTGTGAAGTGTGTCCCTGGCCAGGCCATCAATTGCAGAATGAGGTGTTTGCACTTGACCAGATGCTTGGTTTGTGTTTCCTCAGATTAATCTCCTGGATGCATACTGTCAGATGATAATGATGCATAATTGATTTTTATAGCTAATTTCTTGCCATGCAAGTGCTGTGTGAAACCTTCTCTTCAAATATTTGTTTACTGCTAGTGATTAATCCTGTAGCTTGTATATTTACATGATGGCCCATAGCTAATGCAGATTTTCTGCTAGGCTGGAGCCTTCAGTGGGTTTGCTTTCTTCTCTCTTGGAATTTCTTCCAGTAGTTTTAAATGAAGSTAACATTTTATGGTATCTTTATTAYGCATCAATAAGTGATTTTTTTTATGGAAGAGAAATAACTTCAAAAGAGACTGGACATTTAGTTTGGTCCAATTTGTGACCTCCTGGTGTAYGTACAAAGAAAACTCTTGGCACGTTAATGACTTCTTGAAAGTTTAGCTGCCATTTCTCCCCTGTTCTCAGTTTTAATGAGAACTGTGGGTGGGAGAAGGTCATGTGCTCACAAGYCATGGAGAGAAAAGAGAGGAGGCAGGACTGTTTTATTCCATATAAATTTACATATAACAGCAGGCAGAGCTTGGATTAAGTAATTCCTGAGATGCACTGGTTTTCCTGCTTAGCAGTCCAAGGATGAGACCTGTGGTCACTGCTTTTCCCTCACACAACAGCAACAGGAAGGAATGTCTACTGGGTGAGAAAAAGGCCCAAAAGTATGTAACATTRCAGTGTCCTAGGAATCATACAGAAGTCATGTGGATCAAGAACACAGCAAAGATGTACTTTATGTATGTAGACTGGGAGTGATTGCAAATTCTTGTCTGGTATATCTGGTAAGAGTTAATTCTTTTAATTGCATTAAAAGAATGTGAAGACATGGCCAATTGTAATGCACMTTCCATTTGACAAATTGATAGAGCATAGATTGGCTGAGAGGCAAATCAGACATAGTTGTCTCAAACAAAGGTTACTAAGTATTCTTGTAGGTTATTTGGGGCAGAAAATTGTAAAATGTATAATGCATATCAGCATATATAAATGTAGAAACTAAGCACTGCTTAGCACATAAAGCATGATGAACCTATGTAATTTTTATAGCACTTCAAAACTCAGTGAAGAATAAAGGTATCCCTGGTTATTCTGCTGCCCTGTAGGAAATGTCAGCATTGTAAACAAGCAAATATCCTCTCATCCAGGAATTTAATTTTAATAATGGCCTACAGCAAGTMATTTCTGAGAGCTGCACAGTGAACACTGCACTCCAATTAGTAAAATAGCCAGCCTGTTGCACTCATGTCTGTTCTTGATTCTCAAAGTAGATTTGCTCGTGATAGCCTGATGCTGATGTGAAATACATTTTTAGGAAGTCRTTCAAATCCAATGTAATGAAGAGGTGTTAAAGGTGTATGTTTCGTTGTTATTTTTACTGTTGACATTTTCTCTCAWAGAATCCCAGAAAAAAAAATAAAATTCTAACAGCAATGGATAAGTTCTGGTCTGACTTCCAGATGATATTTTGTTTACCTGTTATGTGCTGTACTCACATCATACTAGTTCATTCATTTTGAATTTCAGTGGTCCATATGCTGTATCCTTTAATGAGAAAACAGTGGAGACAGATGTATGTGAGCAAACCATTCTGTGGGATAAAAATGTTCACTGAATTCCAATGCTGAGCTCCTACAACATTCACTGGAGTTCATGTGGCAATCCTTAGTTGGTAAATACRAAAACTTTTTATTAGGGCTGCCTGTTATAATCACTTCTGACTTTCCCAAGAGCTACTATAAAATCTTCCATTGACACTTTTTAATGGAGAAAYGTTCTGTTTTCAAAATGCCAAGCTTCATAAAATTGTTTCAATTCCTTAGAGAAAAAAAAAAAGGTATCAAAAGGCGTGTTTTAATTGCAGAAAATATGAAAGATATGCTCAATTTGGACAGAATAATTTTCTATTTTTATTCATCTCTAAGAAAAATTATGCTATATTAGTCTCCAAATTCAATGCAGATATTCAATGTTTTTGACATTTCATTAGGTATCCATTCTCTCCCTTAATGCTAGCTTSCTTTTAAGGGAGAATGGAAGTACACAGGGAGCAGTTATTCAAAATGTCAAGCCCATTAAATATCTGATTTGATGACTGAAATAAATTTGTGAAGGTTTAAATAAGAGTTCAGATCATTTTCTCCAGAAAAAAAATCAAGCTAGGAAAGTGAATTCAGAAGAAAAGAATGGATGTATCTTGTACACATTTTGAATATATTGTATTACATGTTTGGATCCTTAAAGTATGWTTTACATTTATACACTACTAAGAAGTCTGAGCATCAAACAAAACCATTTAAATGGAATAATAAATAAAATAATGGAAAWCAGACCTATTATTCCAATTTCTCTGAAAAAGCATGGTTATGTAAAAGACCAAGCCTATTCATGAACTTTTGCAGAAAAAAAGGATCTAATTTTCCAAGCTGTCATTGTGATTAATCACGATAGAAATCTCCCGGATGAAGGTTTCTGATTAAGAAATATAAATTTCAGACAACATATTCAAATACCAAATGGAAACATTTGCAATGAACCAACTGCTTGCAAATGTGAAACATCCCACAAAAATGAATAGCTTGGACTCCAGTTGTTCTCCTCAGGCTGGTCTAGAAATGGGTGCTTCATCCAGAGTTCCAGATCAGGGTTGTATCAGCTCCTCTGCCAAGGACCACTGATTATTTGAGGAGACAGGGTCAGGAGAGAATGGGAAAACTTTTGAAACCTTGAAATACTKCTGTGAAAGGTAAAACACACTTCCCCTTCCCCACCCTAGATAAGAATCAGTTCATAATGGGGAAAAAAGGAGGCATTGTGAAGCTGGCAGACATTGTTTTCCTGTTGGTGAGGAGACATGTACACAATTTGTTGGAGTCAATGAGACGGAAGTGGGGAATAAGGATTTCACAGCCGGGTCATTTTTTATTCATTCTGTTCTACAGCAGTGCACATACAGTCATGAAGTGCTTGGAGTGCTAACCCATCTGTTCTTGGGAGCGGCTCAGATCCAGTGGGCTAAAAATACTCTGTCTGCCAAGGAGACAGTCAAGGTGCTTTGAAAAGGCTTGGATGCTTTTACTTTGGGCCACAGATAAAGGTGATAAATTAAGAGGCATCGGGGCTTTTTTTTATTATTTTTTTTTTTTAAATCTCTCTCTTCTTCCCCCAGACCTATTAATAATAAACCAAATTCAAAAGAACCAAGGAGAAACCTGCCTGATGGCTAATACTCTTTGTAATCCTGGGTGTGCACCTGACCACAGTGCTAAAGTTCAATTCAAGTTACATTTCAGTAATTGATGATCACTTGCCATATCCCTTTATAAAGCTTCTTCATCAATGTCTTTTGTGGTTCATTTTCTATCAGCAGCAAATCAATGAAATTTTAATGGAACAGAGAGGCTACTTGAGACTGAATTATGTTGCTTTACCTGTTTCARTATCAAGTAAAGTTCTCAAAGGCTAGACAGATAATAGTTTTCCAGATTTTCTTCTTTGATAACTTTGTTTCTGCAGAACGGTGGCATCTTTGTAATCAGCTGTAATAAAGATTGAAGGCATTAATGAACTTGGTTTTACTGTGCTGTTAGAATGGAAAAACGTGGGGTGTGAAGCTGATAGCTGAATCCTTACAAATGCTGCAGCAGTGTAGCAGGGGACGCATTAACTCCTGGACCTGGTGATTCAGGGAGAATCTGAAATGGTTTTAAAATCTCCAGGGCAATGCAGTAATTAAGCAGGCACARGGAAGTTCAAGGTCACGAACTGAGTTTCCCTGCAGCTGTAGCAGGAGCTGTATTGTTGTCAGAACWGTCGCACTCAGCGCTCCAAGGGCAGAGCTGTCCCTGGGCCAGGTGTGCGCGGTGATGTTCGAGACACCTATCAGTCCGTCAACACTTCTCGCTTTTCCTGGGCTAAAATTCACTTAATTGATTTCAGTCCACCTGGATTCATTGCCTGGCTTAGCTTTAAGGAGGCCGTTGTGGCGGACTCCGCCTTTGTCCGCCCGGCCCGGCCTGGGCACCGTGAGGGGCGGCGGGGCTCCCTCAGCGGGGCTCCCTCAGCGGGGACAGCCGGGAGCCGCCTGGCTGCATCCGTGCCTGCTGGAGCAGGGAGGTGACACCAGCGCTGTGGCCCTTCCGAGCAGCCCCATGCTGTGCCCTGCTGTGGCTGTGCCGAGGAGCAGCCCTGAGCAGGAGGATGCGGGATGGAAATGTCCCTCACGGCCCGCCATCAGCGCCGGGCGTTGAGGGCCTCGTCTCTCAGCTTTGCTCCAGGAAACTTTCCCAGCGGTTTTCCTCGGCCAAAAAAAGCCTCCTGTTTTCCGAGCCCTACCCAAACCAGAACTCAAAATGCAGGCGTGATGAAATCGTGTCCCGTAGGCTGATTCTTCTCAGRCTAAACAGAGTAGGTAATTTACAAGCTGAGAGGATGAAACTGGCAGTAGGAAATGCCAAACTTCTTCACCTGMTGAAGAGGACTTACTCTTGTGTTGTGCTGCTTGTGGCTAAACAACAGAAACGGGAAGGCTCTAAGGAAAGAAGCTGCCCTGTTGTCTCTAAAGACAAGGCAAGGAACCTTTTTCTC